TATTTGGTGAAGAATTTATGGAAAATATGAATTTTTTCAATAATGGATAAGTCGCATAAAATTCTAAAGCTGAACATAATTCAATGGAATTCACAAAGCTTACGGCCTAAACTTATATCCTTTTCTGAATTCTTAGTAAAAGAAAATATTCATATAGCTTTAATTAGCGAAACATGGTTTTTGATTGTAAGTACGACGTTAATATTAGTGGTTATAACGTGTATAGAAATGATAGAATTGATTGTTACGGCGGCGTTGCGTTACTAGTTCATAAGTCAATTCAATCTCATCGTGTTGCTCTCAATGTTCGTAACGAAGGGATCGAAACGGTGTGTGTTAAGTTACTAAATTGTAAAGACCTAGAATATATTGTATCGATTTACTGTCCTTCGTCTATACGTACGCAACAAAATGATTGGAACGATCTTTTTTCTCATTTTGTTAATAGAACCATAATAGCGGGAGACTTTAACGGCCACCACACTAATTGGTCAGGGAAATCGGATGTGAGGGGTATCCAAATTATGGAGTCAGCTGTAGAAAATAACTTCTATATATCAGTCAATAATGTGCGGCAACCCGGGTTAAGTTGGTTAATGGAAGCTTTCAACAAACTTCTCCCGATGTAACGTTTAGCTCATCTGATATTGCAATAAAATGTGAGTGGAAAGTGTTTAATGAAAATCTAGGCAGTGATCACCTTATCATTAAAATCTCGGTTAATTTTGTTTTCACCATATACAACATTAAAAAGCGCAATTTTAAAAACGCCGATTGGAGTCAATATAGTCAATCGGTTTTTGAAAAAATTATGGTAGAGGATATAAAATCATATACTGTCGATGTTCAGAAAATGTATAATTTCTTTGTAAATTCAATTGAATACGCAGCTGAGAAACATATACCGTATATCAAGCTAAGATTGAAACCAGATGAAAAATTTAAACCCAAAAATTATTGGACGCCCCAATTATCTAAAATAGTGCACAGCGAAGGTTAGCTTTAAAAAAATTTCGTAAAAACCCCACGCCAGAAAATTTAAATGAATTAGAATCTAAGACTTCAGAGTCCCAAAGACTTATTAGAAATGCTAAGTTAATTAGTTGGCAAAAATTTTGTAATTCTTTTGATGAAGTTATATCTGTACCGGAGATGTGGCGTCGTATGAAGTGGATGAAAGGCTATAAGCAAAAAAGGGAGTGCCCCCCCATTGAAAAACGAAACGATCTACTTAGATCGCTAACTCCAGATTATGTAACTAATTTACCTCCGTGTTTTAAATCTAAGAATCCTATTTTAGAATCTCAATTTAATAGACAAGAACTTGAATGTTGCCTCAAAAGGAAGGATTCAGCTCCGGGACAAGATGGTATATCCTATTCCATGATATACAATCTCCCTGGCATAGCAAAACTCTTTCTTCTAAGGATATATAATAACATTTTCCGTTTCGGTGTTATCCCTTATCAATGGAGAACTATTCAAATCATACGTATACCAAAAAATTTAAATAACATAGGGTAATAGTGAAATTAAATTAAGACCTATATCATTAATGTCATGTGTGTGCAAAATATTTCATAAAATGCTGTGTAAATGATTTGAATGGTATGTAGAAAATAATAAATTTCTATCTCCATATACAGTTGGATTTAGGAAATCATATTCGTGTTTAGACGCATTATCTCGTCTTGTATCTCACATTCAAAATGGATTTACAAAAAACATTCCTACAGTTGCATGTTTTTTAGACATTGAAAACGCCTATAATAATGTAACAATTGAATCTGTTATAAAAATAATAGATGAACTACAGATTGGGTCTAAATTCTGTGCGTATCTCTGGTCTTTTATGAATGAAAGACATTTATATATCAAGTTTAGTACGGAAGAAAGTGAATGTAGGTGGACCAATAGAGGTCTGGCACAAGGAGATCCACTGTCACCTTTATTGTTTAATCTAGTTACGTACAAAATATGTGTTCAGATTAGTAACGTTATGATATCACAATATGCAGACGATTTTGTTTTCTTCATAAGTGACAAACAAATAAATAAATGCGAACGTTATTTGCAGGAAGCACTAATGCATTTAAGCTTATTACTAGATGAGATTGGATTGACTCTATCTCCAAATAAGTCAAATTTTTGTATTTTCAGCAGGGAAAGAAGGAGAATAGTGCCTAGTTTGAAAATATATAACCAGCAGTTGACTAGGGTAGAACATATTAAATATTTAGGAATGTGGTTGGATCGAAGCTTACTTTGGCAAAAACATATTAATGAAACAGTTAAAAAATGTTCAAAATATTTAAACATACTTAAAATATTAACTGGTAGCTCCTGGGGAATGCATACTAAACATTTGCGGAAAATATATATTTCAGTAATAAGAAGTAGAATAGATTACGGTTGCTACTTGTATGACTCTAGTAGCAGGATACATACTTCTAAACTTGATAAGATACAAAACCAAGCTCTTAGGATAGTAGGTGGTTTTATAAAAAGCAGCCCAATCCATGTGATGGAAAGCGAATTGTATTTACCTCCATTGTTAATAAGACGTCAATTCCTAGCTTATAAATACATTTCAAAACTAATGTCATGGTCTAATAATGTAAATTTAAATACAATTGCAGAATTAGGCACACATATACATAATAGATATTGGACAAATAAAAAGAAACCCTTACTTGCTACTATATACAATGAAATAAACCAGCTCCAAATTGTTTCATCAGATATCCATAATATGTTTAATTTAGATACATGGATATCAAATGTTCAAGTGAAAAATATTATTCAAAGTGAATTAGAATGTGTTAAACACCCAAAAAAAGTTTATGAACCCAATGTTTTATTACATAATGTAGTTTTGGAATTAGAGTCTAAGTATAATGATTGGTGTAGAATTTTTACAGATGGATCAAAAAATATTGACCAGGGTGGAGTCGCTTTTTTCGTCCAAAACATAGGTCATAAAGAGTGCTTTAAAATTTTGGCAAATATTTCTATTATGTCCCTGGAACTCATTGCAATCTATCAAGCTATACTGTACGCCTTTAATAAAAATATCAGTAAAGTGGTGATTTTTACTGATAGCAAGAGTGCTTTATTACATTTGGCTCGATGCGTCTCTGGCTGCAGAGGTGCTTCGATAGCCTATGATATTCTAAAAGTGATTTATGGTTTTACCAAAATTAATTGTAGAATTATATTGCAATGGGTTCCAGCACACGTAGGATTGCGGGGTAATGAGGAGGCAGACCGGTTATCAAAAATGGCTGGCGAGAGGGGTAATGAGGTTTCATATCTACCAGATTATTGGGAATATGTTGCAAGGTTTAAAATAAAATGTTTTAACAATTGAAAAAACCACTTCAACGAAATGTCAAAAGAGAAAGGACTATGGTATAAAGTCATTCAAAACGAGCCTCTGTGTGGACTTTGGTTTGATGATTGTAAATTAAGTAGACATTATGTTAAATTAGCACTAAGACTTCGTTCTGGGCACTATCCATCGGCAAAATTTTCTTTCTTAATGGGGAAGGCTGCTTCACCCTATTGTGAGGTATGCAATAAAATTGAAGATGTGTATCATATGCTGATGGACTGTGAAAGGAACCGAATTAAAAGGGAACTGCTGTTTAAAGATCTGAATGTAAATTTATTAGATGTTGGTCTTATATTTAATATATTGTCAAATCCCAAAAGTGAAACAATAAAAAGTATTTGCAGTCTTGTTCAAATCAACAAACAGTAATTCCCGGTTTAACAAATCTATATACTTTTAAGGATTCGTATTTCGTAAGTTGTTGTGATATGTATAAGTTACGATGGGGTTGGCGTATCTTTATAGATAAAAACCCCATAAAAATAAAGATAATAAAAAAAAATGAATATGATGCAAAATCTCACAATTATGACCAACAGAAACTTGCCAAAGACACCAAGGGTTGTGGATTCGATTCCCACATGGGATAAGCATTTGTGTGACCCATAGCTAATTGTTCTGGATGTGTGTCTGTTCCTAAGGAGGTTTGACGTCAGGCTGAGAGCTGGACGTAAAACATAACCAAAACAGCTCATAACATGACACACATATTGTGCCAAACCCAACTAAATGTGGATAATGATTATAAATGACTAAGTATTCTTACCTTTGCCAAAGATTACATAACCTGCCAACCTAAGGTTATAAATAAATCTTTGGCAAACAAAGTTGTTCAAGAAAATGTTTCCTCATTTAAATAAATATATGTATATACAAGCATTTCTGTTAAGTTTTATAACAGAAGTATGTTCTGTTAATATAAATTTCCCTGTCTATAAATTATAAATGCATATAAAATTAGAAAATTTCAAATTAAATATTGAGATTTATAAATCAAAACACCTTCATTTAAGTTATCCTTACCTTATATATATCAAAAATAATACAGCTATTGGTGTTATCATTCAATGATTTAAAATTTATTTCTAATACATTTTACCTCCATACTACTGTGGTGTGAATAATTATAAAAAAAGGTAAAATGAGTAATTGCTCAAAACACTATATACATAGGGGCTTGTGCTAACAGTGGTTTAATTTTTTCTATAGCTGTGAAGTAATATAAAAATAATTATATTTCAAAATTGATTGCACCAATGAGCTGGTTAAATAGTGGAAAATGACTTATAATCAACAAATTATGTTTACCAATAGCAAAACAATCCCATAAGCTTATTCACCGACCAATGTAATGATTTTTGAAATAAGGAAACTTTATAAAGATAGAATTCTTGAATGCTAAGTAACTAGTATGACATACTGAGTAAGAGATAAAATGTGAAATTTTAATGATTGTAAACATATTCTTACAACAGTGAGAAATATGATTTGCTAACTCATCTGTTTTATAAAGAAAATACATTAAACTGTAACTTGTTTATATTTTTCAATTGATTGTAAATAATCAGTTCTTGATATATTTGAGTACAGAAGTGAAAGCACTTACCATTTAACAATTTAGGTTTCACCTCTTGGATGGAACCATTTTTATCACCATTGTTCTGCAAAAAAAAAAATGTGTTTTACATTATTATTTAAAATACTACATATTTATTTTAAATATTAAAGGGCTTTAAAAACAATTGCAAAAAATGTATGAAACTTTTTCTTTATATTAAAAGACAAGAAGTAACTTACCAAAGGGGCTTCATTAATGTAGCTCTTGAAGTTATGGAACACCTTTTTCTCATTCATTGTAATCAATAAGAGTTGATAAAGTACTTATGTCCACTATGTTGACCCACTTTAACTCCTTTTGACTTTATTTTCACTTAACTACTATGATGCTTATAGATAGTGAAGCGTTCGGCAGATTAGTGAAAAATATGCAGCATTCCTCATGATCAGAGAATATTTTACATAAATTTGATAACAACTAGATCCATAAACACAACACAAATACACCGCTGTTTTCAAATCTTGTGCATTTAATATCGATTCAACGTAAGCGAATCATTATTATCGGAGCTAAATAAGCTCACAATCACCAATTTACGTTTTTACGAAAAGTCATACAAAATATATAAAATTGGCACTAGTAAAATAGGATTTTACATGATCCGATGCAACGACAGATAGGTGTAATGTTACAAGTTGTGAGGATTGCGGTTAGGTAATATTAGGTAATGCAGAAATTACAATGAAGCTATTTATTTTATATTTTATGAAATAATATTATAAAATCAATTCAGAAGCAAACGACTAATGCCCAAAAATAAATTATATATTTCAGTCTTTGATTATTAGACGATTATTAGAAGAAGGAAGACTGTTGTTTAGTAAATTTAAAGAAAATATTTGTTATTATACACAATAAAATAAAATTTGAAATAATTAATTTAAAAGGTTTAACGTAATATTGTAATTATGTTTTGTACTATTTTACTTTATGTAATTGTACTTTTCGTTTCTTGAATTTTTAATAGTCTATACTTGTCTATAGCTTACATGGTCCATGAGGTCATATAAAATTTCGTAGTCTATGTTTTGTGTTATCTATGTCTTGTGTGATTTTTAGAAAAAAGTTGGATTGTGCATGTCTCAAAAAATGGCGAATGATAAATTTTTGTTCACTATTTGAAAGCACAATCCTCAAGCACAGTTGAACCGCGTGGAAAACTTGAAAGTGAAACTACGTTAAACACAAGAATGGCCGACGCTTTAGTGGAGCGAAGACCTATTGCTCGTTTCTTCTGCCACAGATGTAACATTGAATTCGAAGATGTTTTGCAGGTAAAAATCAATAAGTATTTATTTGTTATTCATATCACTGGGATATGCTGCTGCATTAGTTAAAGCAATCGACCAAAGCGCTTCTTTTCAAGGTCACTCAAGTTGTAATTTCCATATTTCCTCAAAGGCAAATCTGTGTGTGACTACCTACTGCTGTATACAAATTTGGTTGTACTCCCGTTTAATAATTTCAGTTAATTGTTATAGTATGTAATCACTGTGTATTACACTGAATTGCATCATTCTTAATCAGCGGAATACTTTTTTTTTTGCATTTCATTTGTACACAGTAATTGCGCCGTTAGACGTCAACAACCAAGAAATTATTACAAGATATCGAATTTCATATTAGATGCATATAAAATGTTTAATAATAAATTGTAATATTTTTCCTGAAATTATTACAAATTTTCACATGAAAGAATATGTATCTTTAAATCTTGTTATAAATAATGCATTAACCATTGTACCATCGAATAATTCATTTTCCAGTGACAGGGAAGAAATTAATTTTTATTTATAGTTACTACATGTTTCATGTTTACTTGTCCAAACTGCTATATGTCATTGACAAATTGCTATAATCTTTCAGGACTACACTTGCCCATACTGTGCCAGTGGTTTTATTGAACAATTGGAGAATGAGGCGGAAGGTATTGGCTTGTCGGGTGATGATTTCAGTGATGCTGACATGAGTAATATAGATGATATTAGCAACATTGATGAAATGAGCAATTTGGATGATTCAGATGATCTTCATCAAGTAAGTAATCTGTATAATAAATGATAAAGTATAATTAATAATAAGGTATAATTAACAAGAGCAATGGACTACACTAGTGTTTGAAAATATTTAATGTGGAAATTATTTTACATAAAGCGGTTCATTTATATGATTATCTTTAAGTTTTTTATAATTAGCAGCATAAATGTAATATTGCCAAGTCATAATGCTTTGTTCATTAAAATAAATCTAATCAATGTTTATCATGCTTGCTCATTGCAATTATTAAAATAAATCTATTTAAATGTCACTTACAATTTTCCAAAAAATGTATGGAAGCTTATTAAGGGGTTGTTTGGAGGTAATACATTTTTATTTTCTAACATATAAAAGCAATTGTAATGTATTTAATAACATCAAAATTTAAAAATTTTATATGTAATAGGTATGCATACATATTATTTGAAGCAGTGTGAGAATCTATTTAGCTTAATTGCCTTAGTAAAACCTACTAGACTACCTTTAATGGTGATAATTAATTACTAAATTTGTAACTCTGATAGGGCCATGTGGCAGCTTTTTTCCGTTGCTTTTGTTTGATAAAAATGCATTTATTTTTTATAAACCGAGTTCGGTAAATAGGGCCCACTATTTTCACCATTACATCTGTATGTGTAATGTCCCATGGACAGCCAGAATTTCACAATATCAGATGATATATGCCTGAGATGTTGCTATCATGTATCAAAAAAAAATAATTCTATATAAGTTTTATAGATTCAGATTGTTTGTACAATTATACTAGGTGTATACTGTATACATTGGCTAATGGTTTTAAATCTATACAGTTGTGTCAACAATTTTTAAAGTGCTTTCGTCATTGGAATGTTTGCATTTCTTAATACAAATGGGATTCAAAAATAAACTTGAAGTATATATATATAACTAATGGGCCTTTATAAATAAAAGGTCCCGTCAGCATTACTTATCTTTAGGTATATCAATTGTTCTGATATTACCACACCCACTTTAGTGCTATCTACCTTGTGTTTACTTGTGTTGCACTCACAGTTGTCCATGACACACCTCTGATCTGATGGTTCCATGAAGGTCGTTCCAAGGTTATGGCTTCAGTTATCATTTGGCATTGTCTTTGTTGGACAATGTTTGGCTTGTATTCTTAAGACTGCAAAGTTTTATTTAGCTTCAGTTAGGTCATAGAAAGGATGGCATTCCTATGGGAATGTTGTGTGCATTCTTTTTTCACAAAGGGTATAGTAGGTGACTGTATTAGTCCTTCATTGGTGACAGTGGGAACAACTCTGGAATGTGGCGGCAATTTATGAATGCATGTCTTGTGAAGGATATGACATTGAAATACCTTATAGATTGTTTATTGCAAGGGCGCACCCCTGGATTCGCCACCAAAAAATATGTTCCCTATGTGTGCCTCAGACGATGTTTAGCACATAATGTAGTTTTAAAATGAAGATGAAGGTTTAGCTTTTTAAAAAATTCAATAATAGAAACTAAAAATCATATCTGTCAGTGTATAATTTATGATGTACCAAGTAAAACCAACATATTTAATTGGTATATCATAAATTATAATTATTTGGTAGTAAGACAAGTTGTACACAGTGAGTTTAATATAGGTTGAAATTATATTATAGGTACTATATTGAAACTAATAATAAATTATATATGACTAAAGCTTGTATCAACTGTTTAACCAATACAATTTTATATAAACTACTAGCTGGTGCCCGTGACTGTCTGCACAGGATAAGTACTTCGAGTAGCTTATTTTCAACCCCAGGTCCTATCTATCTTTATCCCAAAATTCATCAAAATTCGATCTGTGGTTTGGTCGTGAACGCGTAAAAGACAGAGGGTTAGTTTGAGAGAACATTGTATCTTTGTAAATTATAGCGTGTTGTTATTCTGATGTATAAGCTATATTATTGTAAAGTTTCATTAAAATCCATTCAGTAGTCTTTGCGTGAAAGAGTAACAAACGTCCACGCGTTTATATTATTAAGTAAGGATGTAGGCAAGCCATAAAACGCTAAAAGCTGGTAAAGTCATAGAAAAGTTATTGATCGATACAATACTTCTACTTAGGCCAAATTTCGGGCTATTTTTGTCCGTGCATGTTGGTGGCCAATAATTAAGACTTGCTCATTTGTTGATTTGAATTTGTCATTTAGAGGTCTGTCGTTGCTGACGATAGTCCGTCCCATTTGCATTAACAGCGATTTATTACCCTATTACTAAGACTCGGTTGCCTGTCCGACTGTCCGTCCGTCTGTCACCAGGCTGTATCCCATTAACTGTGATAGACAGTTGAAATTTTCACAGATGATGTAAATACTGAAAAAACAATAAAAAAATAAATAAGTGACAAATATGATTTTGGAAATTTAAATTGTTTATAGTGCTAATCTTTGCACTTAAGATTGAACATTAAAATATGTAGAAAAAGTGCGAAAAGATTGTCGCCGTTGTGGGAATCGAACCCACGTCTTCGGCATTCGCGGCCTGACGCCAAGCATTGTTTCAAATGCTAAGAAAACAATGTAGAGGAATGCGTTAAGATTTTCGTCGGTGTGGCAATCAGCCGTTTAGCTCAGTGGCTAGAGCGACCATTTTTATAGATAATGGTACAGAACCCATCGCACTTGGCCATTTTTTTTTTAATTGAAAAGATGCCAATTTCGTAACGCCAAACGTTCCGCAACCTGTTCGTGAAATTCGTTCCGAAAGTTTTAATTAGTTTGAGCACAGCGCATTTGTGATGCTTCTTTCCTCGAGTATAAGGCTGGTGTTTCACTATGGGATATGATACATATTATTCCCCGAGATATTTACTTACATACTATCATATGGTTAACATTATATCTTAAAGATCGGTTATTTTTCGATAGATATTCGATATTTTTAAGAGGTAATAATAAAATTGAAAGTATCGCTCTGTTAGTAAAAAATGTTCTGGTTTGCGATGCAACATATATTACATGTACGCTATTAATTTACATTCCGGGATAAAATATACCCTATATTTTATCCGACAATGAACACCCGGTTTTACAGAATTTCTTTCTTTGCAAGAAAATTATTTTCGTTCTGTTATCGTGTTTTATAACCTACTAGCGACCTGCTCCGGCTTCGCGCGAGTGCTGTGTATTATACATATAATGTTAGAAATAGGTTACAAAACACAGCTTTTACCAACAATTACTCAATAATTGATGACTCCGTGGCGTTGTTGCCAAGGTATTGGCTTCGGCGTCGGGAGCGCAGTTGCCAAGGCTTCGGTGTCGGGAGTCGTGGGTTCGATTCCCACACGGGACAACTATTTGTGTGACCGACAGATAGTTGTTTCGCATCTGGGTGTTTGCCCACGTGAAATTTATGTTTGTAAAACGTCCTTACAATTATCCTAAAGTAAGGGCAATGTTTAAAAAAAAAAATTGGATAACAATAATACTCAGCTTATCCACAGAGCGACAGCCATAACTTCCAATAAGAAAAAAGTACCCGCGTAAACGTACCCGGGTTAGTTTTTGGTCACAACGGCGAGGGTTGGATTTATACCCCTCAAAAACAAATACCAACAACCCCCCGTTATAGGGTGTAGGAAATATCACGACGCAATATGTATCAAACCAACAACTTTTAAATAAATCACAACAAACTGTACTAATAAATTATTGATAAATTATTAATTAGATAAATATGTACCATAGTCAAAGTCAAAGTATATTTATTCAATATAGGCCTAACTTAAGCTCTTATTGAACGTCAACAAAAAATCTACCACCGGTTCACTAAACTAGACCTGCACAGAGAAGAACCGGCAAGAAACTCTGCGGTCTTGTTCTTTTTGTTATATTTTTTTTGATGCAATTATACACACTTATTTAGGTATAAAAAATTATAACAATAAACCTTCCTCATCAACCACTCTATTAAGGAAAAAAACCGCATCAAGATCCGTTGCGTAGTTTTAAAGATCTAAGCATACATAGGGACAGACAGACAGCGGGACGATTTGTTTTATACTTTGTAGTGATTGGCAACACGTAGGTCATAAACAAATGCCCGATTCGCTTACTAAGACATTCCTTCTCATTCTCGTTTTATTCTTTCTTCTGTTTTAAATGCAAACTGCTGAGTTTGAAATCTCGATTAATTTTCATACTTCCGTTCTGTTCCATAAGGTCGATAGTGGAACGCCCTTATGTAATTACATTCAATTGATACAAACATTAGGTTTTCGTTTACCGATCGATGAGTCCCGTATACAAGTTCAAGGGCGGAAGAATCTCTATTCAAAACCGCCCATACCACTGCCTCAATTCGGTCGCTATTGAAGTTGTCGTGTAATTTATGTATGGTAATTGTTCGGAGGAGGCCTTTGCCCAGCTGTGGGACATTTATAGGATGTTACCAAACTTTGGTAATCCTAGTCATGTGTTCGGATTCTTTAATATGTTCGATGGCGCTGCGTTAGGCGGTGGTAGGGCCACGCAGCAGCCTCGGCTGTTGCACGAATGGGCAGGCTCGTCCGGGTAAGTACCACGACCTCACAGAAGATTGGCGTAAAGTGGACGTATAATACTTTCACATTTCGTCTGGTGAGTGAGGTGGCCGGAGCCTAATTTTCAATAGTGTCAACGCATTTGGAACCCTCAGGTGTAGCAGATGTCCATGGGCGGCGGTATTCACTTAAAATCAGGTGAACCATCTATTCGCTTGGCAACTTTCACATAAAAAAAATGTCCGATGGACATCGCCAATACTGTTTTGCCTTCCTGCTTACCCTCTATGGTTAAGGGGCTTAAGTTCTTGTATGTGCGGTACTACCCTTTGCACTGATTTGAATGTCGACGTATTTTCTTCTCATTGTCAATTATTCATTCTCTAAGTAAACAAAGTGGCGGCTGATTTCCTTACCGTAACATTGCAAGATTTTTCGAAGATTTTTGCTTATAATTTATATCAATATTCACGTTTCTCTATTAGTTCAATTTTTGAAATTGAGAAACGAGTGTCGTCATCTTAGAATTTTGCCCAAATTAACATCTGCAAAAAGATTCGAGACTGTCACGACCTATAAACACAACGTTGTGTGGTGCTCTATCATAATTGCTAATTAGGCTGACTTTATAATTAATTATCGTCAATTTTCTTCATTGTCACAACGGTTTGTGGTCGCATTCGAGTCAGGACACTGGCCTCGATATGTGGTCGTTAAAATGTTTGCCACAATTCGTCGTGTACCCTTTTATCAGAGCCTCAATACGAAATTCGACCACAGCGCGTTGTGAGCAGTTATTTTATTGACGATCATTTGCATTCTTTGAACCAAACATATTAGTATAATTATTTTAAGGCCAAAAGTCCCCCTGATGTCAAATGATTACCACCAATGTGGAAGCGGTTGCGTATTTAGTCCCAAGGAGTCCCTGCAACCTAGAAAGATCTATGGTAGCCTTAACTTCCAAAAACATTGCCCGTTTACTGTAGGATAACATGATCCTGTGTTGAAAGGACGTTTTATATAGGCACATAAATTTCACCTAGACAAACACCTAGATCTGAAACAATTATCTAGGGTCACACGAATAGTTGTCCCGTGCGGGAATCGAATCCGCGACTCCGAAGCCCCAATATCTTGGCAACTGCATCACTAAGATATCTACAATATTGTGGGTTGCGTTGCGTTGCCAACCATTGAAATGTGGGCCCGTATACCTCACTCACCAGACGAAACGCGAAAATATAACACTTTAACTACACGCCGGTGTTATGTAAGGCCATGATACTTCCCCAACTAGCCTGCCCGTTTGTGCAAAAGCAGAGTCTACTGGCTGGCCTTGCCACCGCTAACTATTTAAATAACTTGGTATTTGTTGGTAAATTGTCTTCTTATTATCTTAACTACAGTGGCTATCTAGTTGTTACGAGTTCCGACAATATCAAGCCCAATCGTGGGAGTAACACGAAACGTTAAATGGGTAAAACGAACAAAAACTTTGTTGACTTGTCTGAATCAAAGATCACTGACATGATAATGACCCCTAGATATCGAGTCATGTGTAGGCATTTGTAAAAAACATCAATCATTTTCCGTACAATTATCGATATGTATAGTCTATATTTTTTATCGCCATATATCGATCGAATTCGTGTCTCTTTCAATATATTTTTAACGCAACTGGTTTCATGTTTAATGCTAATAGATACTCTGTACTACTATATTCTGCTCGCGCATTTAATGTTAAAAACTCTGAACTATTTTCTTCATGTCTATACTATTTTACTAATATTTAATGCTTTTAAAATATGTACAAATAATCGTGCGAAAAATGATGATAATAAATTGATACTCTCCGCTCGATAATTATCAATAATTTTTTAAAATGTCGATAAGTTAAGATATATCGATATTTTTTTTTACTTGCACATCCCTAGTCATGTTTCCTTTTGTCCGCAGAGCACACCACCAATGTTGAACGACCTGGCGTTTTTCATGTCCGGCGGACGGCTACGGTGAGGCTTTCGTATTTGTTATTTATATGAGGCGCGCATTAACACGCCACGTCGCGATTGGGGTAAGCAGCGAAATGCGTACGGCCTTAATGACGACGCTAGTTTAGATTAAACCCGCATTCCGCCATTCATCAGAGGTCCGTTGACGTGTCGGTAAAGCATTTGGTCTTTAAACTTACAACTAAAGTTACAACTGCCCATGGAAAGATTGGAAAGATTACACGATTATCTCTCCGATTATCGTAATTTATAACATTTTTTTTTTCGTTTTTTATTAAAAAAAATGGTCTTTCTCTAGAATAACATTATCCTGTGAATCCCTGTGTTGTAAGGACGTTTTATAAACATAAATTTTACGCGGCCAAACATCCAGATGCGAAACAAACATCTGTGGGTCGCACAAGTAGTTGTCCCGCGCGGGAATCGAACCCACGACTCCCGGCGCCGAAGCCAATGCCTTACAACTGCGCCACGCAGTCGTCAATCGAAGCATTTCACACTCGAATCGTAATGCACTAGAAGATAGAAGGGAGAGAGAAGGAAATTAAATTTATTTACCAACGAAAGAGACGCACGCAACAAAACAAAGGCTAAATTTAACAATAAGTAAAGTATTTCCTATACTTATTGTTAAATTTAGCCTTAAAATCATAATATACGTCATTTATGTGACGTAATGTACGTGTTACGAATTACTCTTTTTTGATAGCCCGATTAGAGCCACCTTCATCCTAGGAATCAACCTAGGAAACTGTCGGGACTCCAGTGCAATTATAAGTGTGCCGTTGCGTAAAATTCCAAATTCGAATATCTTTATTCAAAATTCATATATCTTTATTAGGAGCATTACAACGTATATGAACGACAAAGATTTTGATTGGCTGTGTGAAGAATGATGTGTCTGTGAAAGGAGAATTATTGAGATGACGGCTGATAGAAGAATAAGAGGAAGGACATGTTGTGCCGACCCCAACTAGTAATTTTTTTGATGTCAAATAGGGCAAACAAACTGGCGGTTCACCTGATGTTAAGTGTTAACCGCCGCCCTTGGGCGCGCAACACTCGTAGGGTTTCAAATGCGTTGCCACCTTTAAATAAAGTGGGCCCCGGCTACCTCACTGACCAGACGAAACGCAGAAGTGTAACACTTACTTTACGCCGGTCTTCTGTGAGGTCGTGGTACTTACTTGGACGGACCTGCATTCGTGCAGCAGTGAACACTGTTGCGTGGCCCTACTGCCGTTATGGGATAAGGGCAGGAGAAAGAGAGAGAACAAAGGAGCGTTACACTAACTATTATTATTGCTAGTCTATTACCGGCTACTACATAAAGGTCGCCTCCTCCGAACAGGGGTCCTGGGCGGCGGCAGACCCTCATAGAGGAGCTGATGTGGCTGATGGCGGGCGCCAATCCGCCGGGCACTTTGACGGCGGGCGCTCCCTTCGTGTTCGTGGGCGCGCCAGGGGACTACGTCTTCGGCGGCGAAGGTGAGGGGATGATTTACAAACATACATATATTTCACGTGAACAAACACCGAGATCAGAAATTGTGGATCACACAAACGGTTGTCCCGTGCGGGAATCGAACTTATGACCCTCCGCGCCAAGGCAATACCTTGACAACTGCGCCACATATCGTGTGAAAGGTGGCATGCCTGTGTACTCCATACATGCAAAAAAGCTGTCATCCCAAAACACGATTTGTAGTAAAGCTATCATTTTTTTCTGAGTCTAATAAAACACACTTGACATCAGCCTTTTTAAAGACCACTTCGGATATATTTTCTACAAACTTTAATTTTTGGATATCATTTAAGCGAACCATTGTGCAATATGTCATCGATCACTTGGAGAAATTGGTAAATGTTCAGTGCATACCCTCTGACATCTCTGTTCACGTCACTATAGTAGCTTAGAGAAATTGGTAAACTTTTAGTGCATATCCTCTCTGACATCTCTGTGAACGCCACTATAGTAGCTTAGAGAAATTGGTAAACTTTTAGTGCGTACCCTCTCTGACATCTCTGTGCACGCCACTGTAGTAGGTATTGAACCGCGTCGCTCCGTTCCAGGTCTTGACGCGGTGGTCACCCAGCTGCTGGGCCAGCTGGAGAACGCGGGCCCCCCGCCGCTGCCGAGGGAGCAGCTGGCCGCGCTGCCGACGGAGAACGTGTCGGCGGAGCAGGCTGCTGCCAACACGGCGTGCTCCGTGTGCTGGGACAACTTCCTCGAAGGTAGGACCGCCTCCGTTCGCCCATGGCGCCCTGGTACCGCCCGGGCTGCTTTATTCGGCTTCCCACTTAATCGGACTCAATTTATGTGAGGAGATATACTTTATCTAAAAAGTAAAGTAACAGCCAGTAAGTGTCCCACTGCTGGGCATAGGCCTCCTCTGTAAAGAGGGTATCAGGTCATAGTACACCACACGACCCCGCCGCGGAAGTCCCGACTTCACATATCTGGAAGTAGGACTGTCTCCATTCGCCCATCGCACCCTGGTACCAACCAGGCTGCTTTATTCAGCTTCCAATTATACCCGGTTCCTATATTCAACGAACGTCCGTTAGTTACATAGCTTCGTAACTTTCATAACGACTTGTAGATAAAAGGCGTGTACGCCCGGTTCCTATATTAAAAAAACGAGGCGTTTGCCTTACGGGACGTTGTATTACCTACGGAAAGTGAGTTACTAGCGTTCCTTTAATTGGCATTAATCGGACTTATTTATTTGAGGAGATAAAGTAAAAAAAAAGTAAAGTAACAGCCTGTAAATGTCCCACTGCCGGGCAAAGGCCTCCTCTGTAAAGAGGGCATAGTCCACCACACGACCCCGCTGCGGTTGGTGGACTTCACATATTTTCGAATTTTTTTTTATTATTGTTTGGAGAATATGCATGTTTCCTCACGATGTTTTCCTTCAACGCCGAGCACGTGATAATTCAGTAAATAGAATGCGTTGCTCGAGTAAATGTAATAAAATGCGAGCACCCGGACACTGACACCGGAGCTAGCAGTTCACCTGATGTTAAATGATAACCGCCTTTATATAGCAACATCCGTAGGGTTGCAGGCGTAACGTAGTAGAAGAAACGCGAAAGTATAATACTTCCACGTTACTCTGATATTCTGCGAGGCCGTGGTATTTCCCGGGACGAGCCTGCCTATTCGTGCAACAGGAGATGTTGCGTGGCCCTAAAACAGTAAACACTACAGTTGATACTCCGTGGCGCATTTGACAAGGTATTGGCTTCGGTGTCGGGGGTCGTGGGTTCGATTCCCACACGTGACAACTATTTGTGTGACCCACAGATAGTTGTTTCGTTAGCTGGATGTTTGTCCACGTGAAATTTATGTTTGTTGCCTCCATTGGCTCATGGCGCCCTGCAAATTTATATTCTGACTGAGATTATTTTTCATACGAACACGAATACATTAATGGAAGAAATTGTTGTTTTCATCTTATCGCGTTTAATCTTCGGTCACGGTTCGCAATGCTGAAAAATATTCGAAACGTTGGCGATTTAAAATAGAATTTAACGCGTCAAAATCAATTTGAATAATTTTGTATTAATTAACTTATATATAAGTTATATTAGATAATAACTCAATAAATTTGTTAGTGGTGTACTCACTGGATAAACTTATAGATCATTATAAAATTAACCAGACTATATATATCTCAAAAATGCGTCATCCTATGTCTTGTTCTTGTTATTTTGTTCAAATTCAGAATTTAATCACCATAGAAATATTTCTGTTACCCAAGCACTGAAGTATCAAATCTGAGTCAATGGAAATGCATTTCCCATATCATAATTATAAATTCTCCAATTTCATAAATCATCTTATTAATCATTGAAGTACTTAATTCACACAGTACTAAATTAACTCAATGCCACCTACTTGATATGTTAAAGTTTCAAGCCTTCGGCAGATGGTTTTTTTGAGATATATCATAACAGTAAACGGTGGAACCCCAAAAAATCAAAACTGATCACAAAAGCGAAAATATATATATTCCGCAATGATACTGGCGCACGGCGCGCGTATCAAAAATTACACATACATTATATGACATTATAAATAAATGTAACAAATGACAGAGCATATGATACGGAAAGAGATAGCAGTGTATAGAGCTGCAATCTAATAATTACATCGATAAGCATAATTTTAGTGGCTCAATGTCGGTGCGTTAGCTTCGTATCGTCTAATAAAAAGGCATGCGAGTCGATGTGAAAACGTTGCGTTGCGATCGCAGGCGAAGCGATATCGCGTCTCGAGTGCGAGCACATTTTCCACTCGGCGTGCATCCGCCCGTGGCTGCAGCTGCACGCCACGTGCCCCATCTGCCGGCGCTCGCTGCTGCCCGAGGCGCCGGCCGCTGCGCCAGCGGACCCCGCCAACCCGCCAAACCCGCCCAACCCGGCCAACCCGGATCAAGCCACGCTCCCGGCCGGCTCGCCCACGCGTGAGTACAGCCCATGCCCTCCTGCTACTGCATGAACCCTCACCCCAACCTCTGGTGTTCACTCAAGTTCGCTGTTATCAAATCAAGTTCCTTTATGCCCAATTTGGTTTTTCTGGTGCCCAATCTAGTTCTTCCGGTGTCCATCCTAGTTCCTCTTGTGCCCAATCTAATTCTTGTGGAGTTATATCAAATTCTTTTAGTACCCAATTTTGTTCCTTTGGTGGCCAATCTAGTTTCTCTGGTACCCAATCTAATTCCTCTTGTTTACAATCTAGTTCCTTTGCAGTTAAATTTCTCATTTGTACAATCTACTTCCTTTAGTGTCCAATCTAGTTCCTTTTTGCAGGTACACTATCCCTTAACACTCATAGTCCTATAATGAAATAGGAGTTGCACCACCTCACCTTGTACTCTCCCGACTACTGAAAAGTTATTTTGTCATGAACATAGTAGTGTCTTTCCAGTGTATAGGTGTCTATATAATTATTTATAATATGTATTTATGTACAAAAGGAAAGTATGTTGTGCATTTATCGGTTATCTAGTGGCCATAGTGCGAGCGTTGGTCATTTTGGCACTAGAGAACATTGTGTTAAAATCGTGACCCGATACATTAATAGTGTACGATCGGTTGCAGCGTCGCTGCCGCGCGTGCTCCTGCGCCGCATCCCCAGGCGGCAGGCGTCCGGGCCGCAGACGCAGACGCAGACGTGGCACACGCCCGCCGAGAGCAGCGGCTCCTCCGTCTCCAGCTCCACCACGTCCTCGGTGACGGCGGGCGGCGTGTGGGCGCCGCAGGTGCGCTTCGCCACCAACCCCAGCGGCACCAACTCCTCGGCTTCGCTCAACTCGAGCGCGGGCGGCGGCTCCGAGCGCCAGTACAACATGGACATTGACTACGATTAGAAACCGCACAGTGCGACTCGACAGTGTATGTGTGTGGCTGTGTGTCTGTGTGTGTGTGTGTGTGTGTGCGTGCGGCGACAAACGTTTGTGACTGTGGTACCGTTCGTTTTGTGTTGAAAAAACCGAGAAACACCCCATCCGCAGCGCGCCATCGTTCCGTGTATTGAAGTCTGCAGAGCCGCACGAAGGGATCGCCGAGCAGAGCGCCGTTTGTAGCCCAGCGAACGGCGCAGGAAATCAATTGCAGCGGGAAATTACAGTGTCCGTTTCACGCCTAAATAGATTCAATTTACAATGTGGATTTTTATGTAAATTTTGTAAATATTGATCATAATTGTAAGCCTTCGTTACTGAGGTTTGTTCTAATGGTATACATTTTAGTTTATTCATTATCTATTGTGTACTAGACACAATGAGCTCGGTTTATTTGTTGCTTAATACTTAGATGTCAAATAAATCTGATTGCATTGTGTCGTTAGCTTATTCATGTGATAAGGTCCATAAATTTAAATGGTTCATTTTCCACCAGGGCTTCAAAAGTTTTCATCCAATTGCTTAATGCTCATAGCATTTATAATCAACTCTAATGATAGTTTCCTCTACAAATAATGTCCATTGCGCATATTTATTTTCCGCTACTAGTGTCCTGGTTTATTTACTTCGTTTTTTTTTATTATAACAATGTAAAAACTATATGTTATTGGTATGTTTATTTTGATTGCCTGTACTCTTGTTATTTGCTCAAGTGTATAGTAAATTTACTTGGGTTTGAAGTAAGTTGAGAAACATTAAACTTTAATGATATTTAATTACTTTTTTATTTTTTATAATCACGGGCGTAGCTGAATTGGTAGATGACTTTATACAAAGTTGTTTACGAAATGAGCTAGTACTGGAAACAGTATAGGCACTATTTCAAGTTGAGTCTGTGCTTAATTCTGCTCTTAGGTAATATCAGCCAAACAAATAAAATGCTCCCTCCGATGCATTTGACGATCCATCTTTAAAACACAACTTGATGGAGATTTTATCTCTTCATTTTTAAAAATTATGTTCTAGTTTCAACTGACTAAAAAGGATGTTCCTAATTTGGTTCTATATCTTTTGTCTGCTTACCTTAGGACTGTCATTTGTGATTTTAAAAATTCTTTTTTTGCATTGACTTGGTTTAGCTCCCATGTGATCTCATATAATTTTAATTGGTGATCCTACAGTGAGCCCTGATACCTCAACATCGGTGAACTTCTCAAAATCAAATAGAAAATATATTTAACGCCCGGTTTCTGAAACACTGATCATAGTAGAAGTTAACTAATCAGCTGTCAAATGGCTTTGCAAATGTTGTTTGAGTTGCCAAAAGGATTGTTAAACTCTCTGAATTGATCAGAATGATCAGAATAATCAATTAAAATGAGTTTGACAATCCTTTTGATGATTCAAATAACATTTGAAAAGCCATTTGAGAGCTGATTAGTTAACTTCTACCATGATTATTCTATGGTGAGTGTGGTATTTCAAGGCTGTTTTGTTTTCTGTTAATAAAATCAACATCTCTACAAAAGTTATTGTATTCAAGCCACAAGATACAAATTAGTCTTAATTTATCAGCATGAAATGTAAATATATACTAGTTAAAATTATGATTTAAATGTCTTAACTTGATATTGACATTTTTAACACTGTAGTCTTATTTATAAGTATGTACATTATAAAGATAAGACAAGTTAGTAAAGGATGGTTCTAATAAATAATTCATTCGCTGTTGGTTAGCTGATAATCCTTAAACAAATTTCATTGCAACATTTCTATGGTATATATATCTATTCTATTTAATAATAGAACTGCAAATTGATGTGTAAAAATTTTTGGACAAAAAAATAATTAAGAAGAAACTTCATTTCTTAACAATTTTTGGTTCAGTATGGATGGGAAAATATTTTGCATTTCCGCTCTTTGTACATTATAACGGCATTCTGTAGTGAATTTTGGGACTTATAAATAAGTAAATCCAGGAACTTGTTTTATTAACTGAATTTTACTAAAATCACTTGACTGACTAAAGTCAATTTGAATATGAAGAATGTACACTTTCATAATAGATTTGTTAAATCATACTGTTATATAATTATAATAGTCCTAAAAATTTGCTAGTCCTTTTTGATGGTGTCTAAACAAAACTGAAAGAACAATAGTGAAGTTAGAAAAAACATGACAACAAAACAGGATATTCAAAAAGTGTTAAGGTCCACTACAATCCTTGATTCATTACTATTTATCAATTCCTTGTATATATTTATTTGATGGAGTTACACATGTTCAGTTTCAAAATAGTTGATACATTATCATGGTTCCTGAAATAAATACATTTAAGCAGTGATTGTTGATTTCTTAGTCATTAGAAAATATTTTTTACTCTTTGTAAGATATATTCTATTTTAAATTATTCAATCAAGCTCCTTCCTTGCTTGATTGATGATAAGAAAGCTTATCTTAGTCTAGTGCAGTGTATATATATGGTGGTGTTAATATCGCTAAACTTGTCCATTGATAGTGTAACATAATTATTACATTGTGTAAGTAAGTTCCAATAGTTTAATTTAATTTGTTCCATGCAAAGTTTTTTTCATATTTCAGCATAAACATGCATTTCAAATTTTACACCTAGTCTTATAGTACTAATACTAAGACTGAATTTATGTGCTAAGGTTACTACGAGTTGAAATTTGAATTGTATTTTTATAAATCATCAAAAAAAATTACTAAATAAATGTTTTTATTAATTTATAATATAATATAGAGTACAATATTTTAAACATACAAAATTAAGATAGCATAGTTGGTGAGTAAAAATCATTATGAATACAGCTTGAAAGTTGTTTACATGGTTGACACTGATAATACATGCTTTTTTGTTAATTGGATTCTAACAGGTTTGTTTTCTATTTTGTTCTTTATTTTCCTTCTGCTTTTTAATATCAGAAGATGACGCCTGTACATTATTATCTCTACTAAAATGTCTCCCTTATTTAGTGCAGACGTAAGTAGATAATTCATTGTCATCTGTTTTCTTCTGAATATTGTCTGGCTGGTCAAATTACATTTTAACACAATTCTATACATGGGTAAATGGAAAATTCTGCCGATTTTATCGCGTTTAATTTAATTTCCAGAAGTTTGGAATCCGTACCAAGAGCAAGGATTCTGCAAAGCTTTCCCCGAAACATTTGGTAAAGTCCAAATTAAATGCGAAGTCATGAAAATTAAGCTATACGAACGTTGCAGATTGTCTGACGCGAGCCTGAAACATTAATAATTATACCCATTTGTTACCAATTTTGCGTCATCATTGAGATTTGCTTTTATTTTAATTTTATAACCATAGGATTTGTTTATCTATTCTATAACCGACAGTCGTTGTGACAAGTGACAACCATGCGAGCTGTCAGAATGCTTTGACACAATCCAAGTTCCACGATAAAATAGATTTGACAACAACTCTGACTCTAATTTTGATCGTGGCAATATTCAACCGATTTCAAAAAGGAGGACGTTCTCAATGCGGCTGAACTTAGTAAACCGATTTTGACGATTCTTTTTTATTTGAAAGCTGGTTCTTCCCATGTGGTCCCATATTAATTTCATTGGTATTGGATCCTGGGCTCCGGAGAACTCCTGAAAATCAATTATAAAATGAATACAGAGCGAGATATTAGAAGTCGGTTTTGTTTTTCGTTAATAATTGTTTAAGCGCACTTGTGCCTAATCAAAGTTGAGGTCTTTATTACGTAGACATTACGGTCCCGAAAACAGAAGATCCCCTTATTTTCCAGTTCCTTGTTTGTGAGAAGAAAAAAACTGAACTGTTAAAGCCGCTCGTACATTCGCCCAAGTGTGTTTTTTTTGTTTTATGTTTATAAGATCGCGTGCAAGTTGATTGCAAATCTATTTTGTCCGAGGAAATTTTGATCGTTTTAAAATTGCTTTATTCATAGCCTCGTAGTAAAATATAAGTAATTATTTTCTTAGGGATTTTAAATATTTCCTTTATATATACAACACCCATATTCAGTTGTAAAAATCTAATGTTAAGGTTTATACAAACTATTTATAAAAAATAAAGTTAACCATTTAAAAATCTTTTCCATTAATTTAACATAAATATCTAAAATAGTGGAATTTGACGTCTATTATCTCTATTATTTACATGGATGACTGTTTGTATTTTAATCAAGAAGAAAGATATTAGAGTGTAAATGTTTAATCAATGTAAAGTTTTTCGAAAATAAATAAGCATATTGGAGATGTTTGTTTCATTTGGCTATACTGCCAATTTTAATTTTCACCAATCACACCACCCCACCAAACCACCATGTCGGGTGTCGTGGTTTCGATTCCCACACGGGACATCTAATTGTGTGACCCACACAAATAGATGTCCCCACATTTGTGGGTCACACAAATAGATGTCCACCTAGATGCGAAACAACTATCTAGTTGTTTCCATCTGGGTGTTTGTCCGTACAACACGGGATAATGCTGTAATCCTAAAGTAAGTGCAATGTTTTTTTTATAAAAAAAAAGACCAGCGATTTTAGGCAGGAGAGATGGGGCCAGCTGAATTTATGAGGGCGTTCAATGTATTCTCGGTATAGGCATGCAATAAAAAGCTGAATATTCCGAATAAAAATTATTTTTCAATGTCGTCCCCTTCATCCCAATACATTTATTTGAAAAGGATTACTTTTTAATATGCACTAATGTTTTTTTCTTCTTTGATAAATTCTCATCAATTGTCGCCTTCAAGTCTTCGCCGGAAAAATGCTTACCTCGAAGATCTTTCTTGAGATTGGGGATTGAGAGTTATCAGAAAGTAACCAGTAGGGTCTAGGTCCGAGCTAAAGGGCGGATGATGGACGCACAGAAGACACCATCACAAGGCTCCAAAAAATCCGCGCAACCCCTCAACTCCCACTTGTTTCTGAAGCGCCTTGAACATTCGCAACACGCGATGTATATGCTCATGGAGAATAGTCTGAATGGTACCCACGGATAGCTTAATCCTTTCTGCTAATGTTTTCACTCTTACACGGGCATCTACGAGTACAAGTTTCTCGGCTATTTTGGCGTTTTCTTCATTAGGGACACTAACCGGCGCAGCGGCACGGGGCTTGTCTTCAATACCCTCTACCCTGTTTGGATAGTAGGCCTGTTGGTCAGTAGACCATTCCAAAAGAAAATAATGAAAAGGCAGAATCTTGGTAAATAGCGACTATTTATTCGTAACTTTTTTCCACCTTGATGGTAAGCGATCACCGCCGCCCATAGACACTTGCAACATAGTGTCCGTCCGGAACTACCGCTGGCAACAGCTTGTTCCACAAAGTAGCTGCACAGCTAAGACGGAGAAAGGAAGAAAATTGTGAAGTGAAAACTGAAAAGTGGTGCACCCACTGTGCGTTTTTCACGCAATCAACCGGAGCTTCTAGATGCTTTAAATTTGAGATTGTTTATTTATTTGAGATGCAGATAACCACAGGAGCACAAAGGCAACCGAAGTTGTAAACTGTAAGGTCAAGTGGCAATGGACCAACCACATAGCTGGTAGCACCGATAAATAACCGATGGGGATAAATAGAAGGAATTGGCCGTCGTAGTGTGGGACAACTATTATAGACTAGGGCTGAAACTATTAAAAATGGTGAGAAAAAAAAACAGTAGGATGAAACTCATTGGAAAAGGAGGGGAAGATGATAAAAATGAAAGTAAAAAAAAATACGGGCAATCTACAGTTCGGGAAGTAGGAGGGGGGTGAGTTTATGGATAAAAACGGTTTATCTCGATTTCCAGCAAAACTACAAGGCCTTAGGAAAAAAGTTAAATAGCAAAGATGTAGGTAATAAAAAGATCTACAATTTTTATATTTATCGTTTTTTAACATAACTTATGTGAAAAAATTTATGTGAAAAATGCAAATAATCAAGTTTTTTTATTTTATCTTTTTCAAAAATGTTTTTTTTTTTGCACGAAATTTGGTGAAAACTTCCTTTTTATGTTCTAAATACACTGTAATTTGATTAGAAATTTTTATTTTTTCACCTTGTTTTGACTCAATATTGAAAAAGCACCCTAATTTCAATCGAAAATTCTCGCGTCAAAATATCAGCTTTTTAAAAAAAGTCGGTGGGCTTTTTGTTCGTTGAAATCTCAGATGGTGAAAAAAAATTTACATTATTATGGGAAATGTTCTCAGAAAATGCAAACATGTATAATGCCAGAGTTGTTATTCCTACTGTTATTTTTTGGTTACAAAAGTTATCGACCCTGGTCTATCACTAGATGGAGTGACGATCTTTGCAAATGTGCGGGAGGTCGATGGATGCCCATGGTTCGGGATCGTACTTAGTCGCAGTTTGCGGGGGACGCCTATGTCTAGCAGTGGAATAAAACAGGCTGCAATGATAATCATAATGATCCATATAATGGTAGTTAGAACGAGATAGTTTGGCACCGGATCATCCTTGAATTTTAATCCTGGTGTGTTGATATAAGTACATAGCTTAATGTATCAATTATGTAATTGGTTTTGTATATTTTTAAAGTAAATAGTTTGTATGTATAAAAGTCATAGCCTATACATGTCCCACTGTTGGGAAAAGGACCCCACTTCGATTGGCGGACTTCATATATCTTAGAAATATCTTTTTTTATTTTACCGTTGAGTACGTGATAATTAGGACTTGAAAGCATCCAAACAACAATGATATGAACTCAGGTTGCTCGAGTATATTGCATTAAAAGCTAGTGCTCGGACACTGAGCTACCACTGTTTAGTAAGCAGACAATTGAACCAAATCCTTATCCTAGCCAAGCCTTATCCATATATTGTTGCAATTATGATACCAATAATGAAAATTGCGTCCGTCGATTCCTTTATTACATCACCTCGTGGATTGTGAAACATCTTGTCAAGCAAGCCTGGAGTTTGTGTACTTTGCTCAGCTTTTTTTTGCAGCAAGCGGTGCTTATATTTAATTTTAACTTCTTGTATGGACGCTTTGTGTTAATCATAAAAAGTATTTCTTTAAAATACTTAGTGATTTTTACAATATTGCTGACTCTTTTTTACGTGAAAGACATTTATGAGATAAAAGCACATTTGTGCTCGGCCTGCTCAGACGCACCAACTACCCCGTTTAGGAATTGACGAACTTGAACAGGCATTGTCTGTCGTTCTGGTAAAGTGTAGCTTGGAATGTAGGATTGAAATATTTTCACTGCTTACGGCAATGCGAAATACTAAGTACGAACGCATAAGAAACGGAACGTTCATTAAAGTATCGAACAATAAAAATGGCTTTAAAGGTCCGTCCTCAATGCCTATTGAGCGAATGCGCAGATGTTTCAATGCCGGTAAAAATGCAGTTTCCACCTTGCCGAGTGAGTGACTTTGGGGTGGTCGACCCATGCACTTCACAAATACGAGTCGCATAGTTGTGCACGCTTGTGGAAACTAGTTGTCAATTCGTGAACAAAAAACATGAACAATTACCGGCAGAATGCACCTAAGGTTCTGTGACCGACGAAGGTGCAAATACACGATATCTATAAATAACGTTCGGAATTCTTCATTTTTCGGTTGTGTGTGGTCAGTGCTCTAAGGCAAGACAATTTAAAAGTCAGCATAATATTAATACATAATAAGAAAGCTTTATTTGATCACATACATTTATAATTATTAAAATACATGTTTATGAATTTGTTTTATCACATATTGTTTTCTCCTGCCCGTATCCCATCTAGGTGGGGTCGGCACAACATAGGAATCATGATGTTAATGACGTCAAACCTGCTAGGGAACAAACACCCAGATCCAAAATAATTATCTGTTGGGCACGCAAAATATACATGTCCCGAACCCTGTGGGAATCGAGCCCACGACTTCTGGCGCAGATACCAATGGACACCGAGCTTTCGCCATTGGTCTAATCGTATATCGTATATTAATTATATTAAAATTGTCTAGAAATACAAATATTGCTACATTCTAAAAGTGGAATACAAAACAAAAAAAAAGAAATCGACCGATTACCTTAGTGGCTAGTGTATGGTCGCGTAATCCTTTAATTATTAAAAGTGTTTAAACAAAAACAAATAAAATAATAAAGTTTCATTTAAACGCAAAGACTAGTACTAAATATTAAAAATGAAATGTGAATAATTATTATTTTACAATTAAAAATAGAAAATAATTGAAAACAGATGCACTGTCGAATTATGAAGATGCGTTCGAACGTACCAGGCGGCCAGCGGTGAGCAGGGGTTGAGCAGGTAAAGGCAATTAGGAGGGCAGATGCGCGCACACGTGCGTGCGCGCCGATTGGTGTCGTCGGGTGGGTCAGTGCGATGGCACCTGCCTCCCGTTCCACTCTGAGGTCGCCAGTCATGTGGTATAAGGCGGGACTTGGGAAGTGTCACATCAGGTGGGAATAAATTTTGTGATATTTCGATATTAATGTCACGGAAATGTCATTGACACGAGCCAATGACATTTCCGTGGTGTTTCTAGCAAGAAACACTTCCTTCACTTGCACAGCAAGGTGGTCAGGGCTAAAATTCAATTAATAGAATTCAAATAAAATAACAGTTTTAATTCTTAGATTTAAGGTTGATTTGAAATCGGATGTGCATAGTTATAAAATTAGAATATTATATTTATCTTAAATAATAACTAATACTTGTAAAACATTGATAAAATCAGTCCATCTAATGTAAATTATTATATAATTGTCCGTCGTGTTGCACGAATGGGTAGGTCCGTCCGGGTTAGTACCACGACCTCACAGAAGACCGGCGTAAAGTAGAAGCGTTACACTTCTGCGTTTCGTCTGGTGAATGAGGTAGCCGGCATTTTCTGAGGTAGCCTATTTTATTTAAAGATGGCAACGTCTTTGCAACCCTACGGGTGTTGCAAATGTTCATGGTACCTCAGATATTTGCGACATTGTTTGTCGATTCAACTTGAACCGTCAACCTTAGATTGTATATACTATATATGACCTTTGATTATATACCTGTCAATAGGCAAGTAGGTATATAATCAAATCAAAGTATACGGCGTTTATACAATCAAGGTATTATACATTATTGTGTTATATTTAAGTCATGTCTTGTTAAAATTTTCCCTTTACCTGAAGGTATATTTATCAATCATCTCAGGAAATAATTGTTTGACGTAATTAATGTTTTCGACACAAAAATGAATGAGTAGGTATATTCGGGCTTAATGTTATGCAATCATTTGCTTTCACCCCAATTAATTTCGATTTTAACCGTCTTAAACGTGTTCGAATTGGTACATATTCAATTAAGTAGCACGGGTCGAAATATGAATTTTATCAGCCGTTAACGGACTCGCCGAGTAGTTTAATATCATTCAAACAGCCAAAGCGTTTAACTCGTGGCACAACATAAAGAATCGTGCGCGGGCGTTCAATTAATACAAAGGTGCGTGCGCAGCTGACGGCGCACCTGCCGCCATCTTTAACTTTTCTTTGACCTTTTTTTCGCCATCGATGTTAGTGGCCTATTTTTTATGGCGCAAGATGGCGGCGCAGCTGACGTTTGCATCAGACTTTTGTTATCCTTAATGAGTTAACCATTCGGTCCCGAATATACTCGGGATTTTCTGGAAACGTTTATCAATCCAAAGTTGGAAAATATGCGTTTGTCGTGATCTACCTAAATTGTTATAGCAAATTACCTATACCACATTTAAATTAGGTAGTTAACCTTTATTAGGATTATTAATAATTTTATGTAATCTTTTTGCGGCACATTTGTCATCAGTTTTTAACTATTTTTTCTGCAACCGCAATTTAAATCTTTGTTGAGAGACCCTCTACATCCTAAGTCATGTCAAACATGAATATTTTGAAGGTCAACATTTTTTATTTTCACCTGATTTTAAGTGATAACCGCCGCCCATTGACATTTGCATCACCCGTAGGGCTGCAGATGCGTTGCCACCTTTTAATAAAGAGCTATCGGCAATCCCACTCACCACACGAAACGCAGAAATAAAACACTTTTACTTCACGCCGGTCTTCTGTGAGATCGTGGTACTCGTACTTCCCCGGACGGACCTGCCCATTCGTGCAACAGCGAACACTGTTGCGTGGTCCTACTAAATCAAGTTTGTATGATATGACAGGATAACTATACCTAATAATTTAAGTTTTGTTTTTAATTATTGGGTACAAGGCAAATTCAAAGTTCTTTCATACAATTTTCAGTATGAGTATTTTATACTGAAAATTATGTTAAAGAAAATTTTCAGATTTCTTGGTCATCACATTTTTAGTTTTAACTATAAACAAAACATATTAATGATTTCTTGTGTGTACACGTATGCAATTTATAAATTTGCAAATAATGATAGTATTATTGATATCAACTTTACACCCGAAACTTTCCCGCCGGATAACACTACACCTACAGTTCGTGCAACAACAAACATTTCGCCCTCGCCTCCGAGCACGGCGAGACCAACACAACGCGTACACAAGGTACACCCGCGTTCCGGGGCGGTTCTCACCGCTCCCAGCCACCGATTAGCTAATTGCACAGTCGACGGCCATCGGGGTTTCGGTCCGAACCGCGGCTAATAGTTCGCCCTCGCCTCCGAGCACGGCGAGACCAACACAATGCGTACACAAGGTACACCCGCGTTCCAGGGCGGTTCTCACCGCCCCCAGCCACCGATTAGCTAAACACAGTCGACGGCCATCGGGGTCTCGGTCCGCACCGCAACTTCGATGGGCCCTTAGATGATATGTCGTAGTTAAACGCACGCATGAGCACATGCTCGGCCCTACCCACATCGGAGGGCCCAAACCCGTGGGTTCTGGCTAGCCCACCGGTCCTGCGTCAGATGAAGCTTTAATAGTCTCGGGACTGAAAGCAAAAACATCAGTTAATACAAGATACAAGATACAAGAAGTCCGAACCGCGACCTCGATGGCCCTTAGATGACACACCATAGTTAAACGCACGCATGAGCACATGCGCGGCCCTACCAACAGCGGAGGGCCCAAACCCGTGGGTTCTGGCTTGCCCACCGGTTCTGCGTCAGATGAAGCTTTAATAGTCTCGGGACTGAAGCAAATCATCAGTAAATACAAGATACAAGATACCCGAAACGTTGTGAATTTTAGTGTTGTTGTAGCAATCAAATTATAATTAATGAGAAGATTATAATCAATGAAATTATTATATCAATTCTTATGTTAAAAATAGTTTATACTTATATTACTTATGGCATTGGACGATGTGGGTATAAGTTTCACTTTTTTGCTATTAAGAAAAAAGACGTGATTTTTATTATTATGAAGAAAATGTGTTTTAATTCTGTTAGAAATACTATAAACCGAAAAAGATACCTTAGAACCTTGATCCTATTCCCACGTGTCTCGCTTAAATCTTGGTCAACTTAGTATTGTCCGTTGGGTCCTTACACCGTCGTCTATGATTGTACCTTCGGGTCGTCTGGTGCCGTCTTCATCTTCGCATCTGCTGCCCGATTTAAACCTTTGTGACCATCTGTCCGTCCGCCACGTGGGCTCTCTTATGTTACTTTATTACTTATAATATTATCGATTACGGATATCTTAAATACAAAGTGAAAATCGTTTTTTTTTTCATTTCTAAAATATAAGATTGAAACAACAAATAAATAACAATGTTAGGTAAATGTTATATAATAAATTTACAGAAAAAATTATTTATGAACCAATGATTGAACACCAGTCAGAAGTTAAATAACAGGTAAGTACCTATGGTAATGTAAGTACATCAGTATCCAGAAGACAAAAGTAGTATATAATTTTTTAATAAATAAATCAATAACTCATGACTATAATTGTTAAGCATTATTTTATAAATGTTTATTTGTGAAAGTTATTGACCAAAATATAGATTTTTGCCTCGGAATACAGCCCAGTAACGCAGTAGTTGGTACCTCTTCAATACTAGATTACGTTAATTCGTACTTGTTTTAATTTATATCGGGTACCAAAGAAGCATGTCTTAAACTTGAATGTGATGTGAACTTGAACACAAATGATATGTGGTGGAATATTTGTCATTATGTATTGATCCTTATATTGCTTATATAAATGCTTATATTTTTGGAACCGGTCAGGATTCCTATGATTTGAAAGTATGTACTAGCATTAGAAATAATATGATATTTGCTCTTCGTCAAGATCAGATCAAAAATCTTCATTTTCTAAACTACCATTCGAAAAAACGTAAAAGTTGAACTGCGACTTTTTCATCAAGCATAAATTATAAAATCGTAAAAGCAAGTGGTACCTAAATTGTCAACAAATATATTTTAGATAATATTCTTAACCTTACTCGACTAAAAAAATTAATTAATAACTGCTATAGCTTATTTGGTTATCCCGAAAATATTGAACGCATAAATGATATACAAAAATAATCCGTGTCGAGTTTTGTGCGTAAATTACGAAATGTATCCAATGCCTAAATATGCTCGGAATAAATCATGGGCTTTATTATTAGTAAGCATGTGAGGGTAGCGGTGCCCCATGGATCGATGGTGCAGGCCCTGACGGAGCACCCTCGCCGAAAGTAGGTCATGCGCCCCCATGGTTGGCACCCTTGATACTAGGCGCCCATAGCCGCGTGGAGCATTTGATTGAATGCGCCGGGCTAGCGTAATACATTTGTTTCTCATTTGATGGTCGCAAATTGTTACGTTCCTTATTCTATGAATCCAGCGTAACGAAAAGAATCCGTTACCGCAGCCATTTGAAACACGAAATTGGCCATTTGGTTTAGGTTTTAACGTAAATCTTACACTTCGCACCACTAATAACGAAGCGACAACACTTGTTATTAAGTATATATTATGTTGTATCGATGATCAATCGCATTTAGAGTTGATATGATCATATCCGCAGAATGTAATGTGATATTTTTGAAATCTACCTAAATATTATGTACAATCAAATGAAAATGATTTTATCGTTGTGTGAAACATGCTTACAAGTGTCATTTGTCTTTCTGAATCACATATCTTGTAAACTAGTAAAGTATTACATTATAACAGTGTTGTGAATGTTGCAACCAGTTAAATAAGACTCTCATACTTGTGTTAAAATTTGTAATAAAAGTATGAGAATTTTTTGTACATTTGCGCACTGTAAAGAATTTTCTTGAAATTCCAATAAGTCATGCGATAATTGTTTAAAGGCTGAAAATCGTTTTCCATGTCTATTTGCTAGCTATTATAATTTTTAGCCAATGTTGTGTAGATCTGTAATAGGTTCTCGTACCTTACTTAAATACTAGTACCTGGAGGACCGAGCTTTGCTCGTTTTTTTTTGGTAAATCATGTATTTTGGAAACAAAAAGAAAATAAAGAAAATGATCTGGTATAGAAAAAAAAGTTAAAAAATAAAGTGTGTAAATGATCGTGACACGACCCACGGCCGTCTGTTTTGGGGCCGCCCGATTACCGACCGAGCAATTATAACATTTTTTTGCGGCGAAATTTACCGTCATATTCGAATGATATTTTTCATTCCCTGAAAAGTGGGATAAAGCGACATTTTCTAAAAATGAAACCTAGCCAGATCGATTTTTCGCCCCCGAATCTACGGACATATTAAATTTCATGAAAATCGCTGGAGCCGTTTCCGAGATTCCGATATATATATACTATACACACACATATATATACATATACATATACATACATACATATATATATATATATATATATATATATATATATATATATACAAGAATTTCTCGTTTAAAGAATAAGATTAACAATGATGATATTAATATGTAATGTGAGGATTGTTATTAAATAAACTTACTGAGTGAATATAAAATTTCAATTACTTATTACATTTTTTCAGAATATAATGGTTTTACATGCATTAAAATTTGTCACCGCTATATTGTCGTCTCATGATATTCATTCAGTAAGTTTACTTTATGTGAATTGTTGTCAAGCGAGCGGGCGGTATTATGGTATATGAATACCGCAGACTATGGAATTCGTGCAACAGCAGAATCTGATTTTAACGGTGGTAGGGCCACGCAAAAGCCTCGGCTGTTGCACGAATGGGCAGGCCCGTCCGGGTAAGTACCACGACCTCACAGAAGACCAGCGTAAAGTGGAAGTATGACAAATACTTTCGCGTTTCGTCTGGTGAGTGAGGTAACTGGAGCTCAATTTTCAAAAGGTTGTCAACGCATCTGTAACCCTCGGGTGTGGCAGATGTCCATGGGCGGCGGTATTCACTTAACATCAGGTGAACCGTCTGCACGTTTGACAACTATTCGCATTAAAAAAATCTGTTGCGTGGCCATCATAGTAAATGTATTAAAAGCTTCCGAAGTATCGTAGAGTCTGCGACAATGTTGTACTATTTGTTCTTCGAATGGTACTCGCATTAAATACAAATACGAGGTAGAGTTAGTGAGGCGCTCAAATTACGCCAATTGGGGCTATTAGATTGTAATTCTATAGACTGCTCTTTCTGTATCATACAGTCTATATCATCTGTCACACGCACATGTATAAAGAAGTCATATAATGTAAAGCGGAACAATTTTAAACGCCGGGTCCATTATGCACATGTATCATGTTTATTATAACATCAATCTTTTTGTTAATCATTTAAACTCATCACGTTTTAGTTAAATTATCCCAGTTAGTGCACCAGGTTTCATGAGGTGGTACCAGTGTTACCGACTGTTAGAAAAAATACGCCCAGAGCAATTCAAAAATCCCACTAAAATCTCCCAATACTCACCAAACTTCCTAAATAATTAGCATTTAGGACTTTTTTAATGTTAGAATTCACCCCCTGAAAAGCACCGATCGCAAATTTTTTCTTCATAATTTTAGGAATAAAACCCCTAAGTTGGCATCCGTGGTTGGTACTAGGTGATGCTAGGTGTAGGTACGCTTGCGTACAGCGCACCAATTGGGGCGTTCAAAGGGCCACGCGACTGGCATGTTTAATTGTATTACACGTCTCATGGTGTGCGAGGCGCGAGGTCACTTAGGGTGCTATTGAGGTCGGGGCCACCACCCCCCTGTCCTCACCTGTGCTCGATACTTGCTGTCAGTCACCTATGGCGGCGGGAGCTAGCTATCTCGGCACATGGATTTTGAACGGTTTTATGCGAAAAGTTTATATAATGTATAATTTTATTTCTCACACCGATTCAACTAGTCTGACATTTTATAATTCTCTCGCTTTGCTGCGAGATACAATTAGCAATTACCGCCGTGATAGCCGTGATAGCTCAGTGTCCGGGCGCTCGCCTTAATTCAATGTATACTCGAGCAACCTGAGTTCGATCCCCGGTGCCGGCACCAATGAAGTTTTTAACTTTAAGTGCTGAATTATCACGTGCTCCGCGGTGAAGGAAAACATCGTGAGGAAACCTGCATATTTTTTCGGAATAATAACAAAAAAAATGTATTTCGAAAATATGTGAAGTCCGCCAATCCGCAGTGGGGCCGCGTGGTGGACTATGCCCTGATACCCTCTGTATAGAGGAGGCCTTTGCCCAGCAGTGGGACATGTATAGGCTGTTACTTTACTTTTTTACTTTACAATTAGCAATTACAGAGTAACTGTTTGACAAAAGACTTGAAGAGATTTGTTTTTAATATTGACAGTGTGAACTTTGACAATCATTTTTTTTATTTTACGCGTTTCTAATATAAATAGTTAAGCTTTGTGAAATCTTTGCGCAGTACCCTGATAACTCAACAGTATGATAATGGTGCAAATGAGTGTTTATCATGAGAGTACCTTATTTTAAAGAATAACGCTAATTCAGGCTACTTCGCTATCTTTCTTTTAAACTAATGGAAGATAGATGGCGCTATCACAGATTCTTGATAAGAAGTTTTTAAAGGAAACTTTTTTATGAAATCATTAAATTGATTTCAATTGTTTCTTATTTACCAATAGCGGAAAATATAAGCTTTAAAACGGTGTTTTAATCTTTGGATTTGGTGAAGAATTTTGGTAGTTATAACGTACCGACAAAAACATCTTTGAGAAATTATCAATATACAAAGATTAGATTACATATAATTGTTCCGAATCTGGGTTTTTATTCCCAAGGAAGGTTCACATCAGGCAGGTGACCGATCTTAAAAGAACTCAATTGACAATTTGATTGACATGTTCTCACTCCTTCTATGTAGCAAGTGTCGGATCAAGTAAAAAAAAAAAAAAAACAAAACCAACTTAAAATGCCTCTTTCACTATACATTTTCTATTCAATTTCGAGGAGGTTCCTAATGTGTTTGCTGAGTATAAAATCGAATACCAAAGAAAGTAATACGGGACCACATAAAACCGAGTCCATTGCAAAAGGAAGATTAAAAATTGGTTCAAAAATGACGAAGTTCTGAGGTAACTAACATTAAAAAAGCGTATAGCCGAAATGAAAAATGAAATCCCTCCTTTTCGAAATTGGTTGAAATGATATACA